CCGTTAATCGGACTTCGTAGAGTCCGCTTGAGCCCGTAACTACTGCAACTCATGGAAGGGGGGTTGTCTGGGTACGCCTAACAGTAGGCTAGGCACCTCGCCGAACACTGCATCCAATGGCTGCACCAGCTGCTGGACAGGCTCGAAAAGTTGATTGCTGTATAAAAGAGGGAGATGATTATCATACCTATCCTGCTTGTTTGTCCTTTCAAATTCGCTATGACCCACTTTTTACCTTACTCTCGTCGTTCAGGCTACGCGCATTCACCTCTAGACCAGACGTTTGCTACGTTTCGCTGTTCTTCGATGCTCAGCTCCAAGATTTTGCTTATCTCGGGCATAGCTACGTGGCTCCAGTGGCCGTTGGAATCTCCCCCACTGGTGTCGAGTCGTTGCCCCCCATTGCCACTATACCACCGGTGAGATAGTCTATATTTGCACTTCTTCTATGTCTCAATCCCGCTCCTCATCAGCACTTTTTGGCCTCCTCCAATTGGAGGTTGTTGCAAGCTCTGATTCGGGACTCAAGTTTACCTGACACTTGACTTTTGTTGTTAATCCACCAAAGTGCAAGGTCTAGGAAATTTTGGCTTTCATTTGAGGCTTTCTATATTTATGAACTGTCCAATACAATAAGACGACGACCACGAGGACCTAAACTAGGGTTAAAGAGGCCGTGGCTCTTACTCCGGTTGGCTCCTATCTCCAAGCCTAGCCACTGCTATATCATGTAAAGAAAGGGTATGATCCCGACCATGTGCTATTAGACTTCTACGTCGTGCTGTAATTGGTGACGTGGAACGTTGATAATTTAGAAACTTACTCCGTTTTCTTCGAGAACCAGAGTCTGGCTGCAGTGGCTTCTTACTGTAGCCGCCTTCGTGGCAACTGTCACCAACTTGAAATCCCAGCTCTCGAAGTGCGGTTCATGTGCGTTAAGCGAGTGTCAAGTGGACAACTGCCTCCACCTCCATCACCTATCTTGTGGAAACGGATAGGTAATCGACGCTGCGCAAGTCATTGCTTCCTCTGTTGTGCAAAATTTATCCTCATTTACTCCAAGGGACAATGTAATGACTCGTGTGAGCCTCTAAGGAGGGTTTCTCTGGCCCCAAATGCCGGTGGCGATTAAATTAGACCCACGCAGGGTCAAACAGGCGTGTGCGCCCTGTGTCCTTTATCCCAAATCGGTGCGACTCAAGCTCATAACTATTAGATTATGGGACGATGGAGAATGAGGTCGGACCTGGGACAACTTATATCACACAGGTGCAGTCTTTCGCGTCCTCTGATGCGCCTAGACCACCACGAATCATTCAATGTCGTGAATTTGAACTGACGGAATAACTAAACACCACAGATCTGACAACCAAACTGCAATGCGGCCTAACTCCCAACTTTTGCTGATACCCAAGGATCTCCTCACCAAGTATAATTCGTGCGTTTGGGGATGAACTCGTGTGGCACGCGTAGATGTTAACTTGAATTTGCCAGCCGAGGCGTGTCGACTTTTTCTTGCCCTTAAGACGTGGGGCGGTATGAGAGTGAGGTAGGCGGTTTTATTGTCCTTCATCCGCAGCCCTCTCAGGCATTGGTGTGCCTTCGTTAAGTACAATGGACAAACTGCCTGTCTTTTTGGTAGCCTAGGTAGTTGTTTTTCGCGTGTTAATATTGTTGCTGGGCGCGAGCAGTGTTCAAAACTTCAAAGACCGTTGTCCCTACTCTGGTTGAGGATTTTAAGGTCACTAGGCTGGCATCCGTTACAAAACTCCTCTTACTAACCGAGTCTATCTGCTTCACTGAACAGCAGCTTTCGTCTTGTTGTGCACCCAGTCTGTCTGAGCAAAATCGGTTTGGACTGCCTGAAGCATAGAGCCTGTTTCCTCACCGAATCTGATCCATCCACTTAAAATCGTGAATCTGCAAAACTTCATTGTTCGGTCAGTGCTGGATTCCGCTGAACAATCTGGAGGGTTTCTGGGTAATTACTGGTGGAGATAACTTTGAAACAGTGCAAAATAGCTATCTGAGGAAACACTCATATGTGTCGTTGGACGTAACTTGTTTTTATGCATTTTCCTGCCTGCGAGCCTACTGGCTACATAATTCACGTTACAGCTGCCTTAACAATCTTTTCGGTGATTTGAATTCTGATTGTAGCCCCAATTTTACTCCCCTTCCTGTTGAAGCTGAACCGTTTTTTTTTTGTTTTTTTTTCAATTTTCAGGAGGCTCACCCTTTTCCAGCCGACGATGTCTCCGTTATAATGACAAAGATATGTTCTGTTCTGAGCCTGGATGCCTCAGAGCAGCCGCGCAGGATTCTTACCTTCTTCGATAAAAAAATATACAAGACCTTCTTTTTGGCCAAAATCGAGCCGCGTGTCTACTTTGTCACCGTCTGTCCAAAGAATCAACTGTGCAATACGCAAATCACTGGATTTTTGAACCGGATCGGCGATGCCATGCAGCTAATTGAAATAAGTAGGGCGCTCCGTCCTGCCTGATGTCCAAATCTTCCCTTTTCTGTGATTTTTGTCACAAACTCCTCTCCCGTCT